GCAGCGGCCCATCCGATATTTCACATTTCAATGTTAAAGAAGTGTATGGACGATCCTTCACTTATTATACCGACTGCAAATATTGGTATTAAGGACAACCTATCTTATGAGGAGATTTTCGTTCAGATTTTGGATCGTCAGGTTCGCAAGTTGAGAACCAAGGAGGTAGCATCAGTCAAGGTCTTATGGAGGAATCAGTTTGTTGAGAAAGCTACTTGGGAGGCTGAGGAGGATATGAAGAAGAGATACCCACATCTCTTTACTCTCGGAGAAGCTTCAAATCAAGGTACTAATTCTTTTCTTAGTACTCTTTAAGTTGATGTGTTGTGTTATATATTGCATATTGGGTGTTTCTTAGTACTCTTTAAGTTGATGTGTTGTGTTATATATTGCATATTGGGTGTAAATGTTTGCACCCTCATTTCTACTTAGAGTAATCTCATTCGAAGATGAATGTTTCCAATGGGGAGATATTGTAACATCCCACCTTAGAAAGAGCTGAAAATAGAAAGAACTAATTTGGAAAGAGCCAAATCTGAAATCTTACAAGTTATGCTTAAGTTGTGAGTTTTGGGTCAACTTCAAATGACCATAACTTTCAGTACATAATGATTTAGGTGGACCATAAGACATCAAATGAAAGGTCTTGGAATCCTCTTTCCAACACCACCGAGTTTGCTAAATTTCGAGCTCGTATGAAGGAGATATTCCCGTTTGAAGTTAGCCTGTCCAGTTAAGGAAAGTTACCCGAAAATATGAGGGGTATTTTGGTCTTTTCCTTACCCAATCAGATTAAAACAATTTTTAGTAATATTTTGGGGTCAAATCTGATTTGGGTCAGTTTTCATAAATCCAAATACGCTTAGGGTTTTGAGAGGAGTTCAAGAAGAAGAGAAAAGGAGAAAAGATCAAGGTGTTCGTCAAGATTCTTGAGTTTTGTTGCGGGATTTCGCCCAAGGTTCGATCCCTAAGTGGTATTTAAGCTTTCATAGTGTTAGGTTCGTTCACCCACACACCAATTTACATATTTGAATCCATCCATAAAGGTTGATAAAGTTGAGTTCTTGATGAGTTTCTTGAAGTTTGTGATCTATTCTTTAAGTACGAGGTTTTTGTTGAGTTCTTGCGATGAGAATCTTGGGTTTGAGTATTTTTCTTGAGTAATTTAAAGTGTATTTCATTGTAATTATGTTCGTTCTCAGAATCTAGAAGATTTTGAGGGAAATTGTTCGATTCTAAAAGAGTTAAACATGAAAATAAAGCAAGAAAATTCTTCAAAAACCTGGGAAAGGGGTGGGGGGCCACACCACTCAGTGCGCCCCAAGCAAGTGTCTGTAGGTAGGGCTTTGGGGTGCCGCGCCACTCAGTGCTCCCTAACCCACCTGCTTTATTTTAGGGGCTAGCGCCCCATGCCACTCAGGGGTCGCCAGGTCCCCTACCCTTCTGTCCATCTTTCCATTTGAGTTCCCTCGAATCGTACCTATGTTTTCTACTTGATATGCATACTCTAAAATACATCTAAACATAGAGAGATCATTCATAACATGAATCATAACCCTTGAATTCATAATTCAAATTCAAGGTAGAGATAAGAGTCAAGGCTTGAGAGTTCTTCGAGTCATTTTAAGAAGTCTTTTTACAATCTTTTAAAACTTGTTTTAAGACTTTGCATTTGAGTTTGAGGAAGAATAGAGCTGAGTTTATTTTGTTTAAAATGATATATGGGAACTAAGTATTCCAAAGAGTAAATGTTTTTACATTTAAGATGAAAGGAGACACCGATTTCCAAAAGAGTTCATGAGGAGTTTTGAGTACTATTTATCTTTAAAGAAATCTTTTGAGTAATAATCTCAAAGTTGAGGATGAGGAAATTCTTTTTTTAAAAAAACATATGAGCTAAGTTATATTTTGGGAGTAGTATTGAGCACCGATATGGGGGAGAGTTATACAACTCACAACTCCCATAAACCATGTAGCCAACGTGGTAGAAAGGGTCATATTTTTTAGATGATTCCTTATTGCCTTTTAATCATAGCTTAGTGGATCCAATTAATTGAGGAGTTCTATACCCCAGCAAGGTATAAGTCAGTTCTCGCAGCGTGTCGAGACGTTGTATCATCACATAGCTCAGAGTGATAGTTGTCGTTAGAGAATCTCCCAAACAGAGTTTATTTTGTTATTTTACATACAAACTGAGTTATATTGTATTTTTCCAATACATTGAGTTGCGACCTTCTGTTTTAAAAGCTTTTCTTTATATTGCATTTATTGTTATTACTTTATATTGAAATGAGTTAAGGTTGAGTCGCGTTGAGACGAGGTAAGTTGTTTCTTCAGTTTCGGTTCAAACTTATGTCATGTTTTAGATTTCCCCTTGCATGCTCGTACATTCGATGTACTGACGCCATTTGTCTTGCATCTTTCATGATGCAGAGGTAACCAAGATCATCAACCAGCACTTCGTTGATCTAGTCGAGTTCCAGAGTTGTATGGTGAGCCTCCTTGCTTCCAAAGGATCCCTCTTTTATGTATTATCATTCCAAATTTATTAGTATGATCAGGGGTCTTGTCCTGACATCTCTCATAGTATTAGAGGCTTCATAGATAGAAAGACAATAGTAGTTCACGAGTCTTATTCATTTCCATTATTTATGTTGAAACTTGAGTTGCCTCTTTGCCCAGTTGAACGCTTATTTCTAAACATTCTGAGTTTAAGTATTTTGATACCTTTGAGTTAAAGCGTTCTTTAAAGTTCTTTTATTGTTGAGTAAGTCTTTCGCTGAGTATTGAGTCAGGCCAAGGGTTCGCTTAGCACCAGCAATGGCTCTCGAGTGTCAGTCGCATCCAGGGTATAGGCTCGGTGCGTGACAGTTGCACTTAGGGCAATTTAGTGATCAATGAAGTGAATTGACAATCATGAGATCCTGAATTTATATTCCAAAAAAGGAAAAAAAATACTCCACCTATTCAAATCTTGATAGGGATTAAAGGCAAGTTAACCCTAACATCACAATTATAAGAAAAATAATTTTGATTCATGTAGATATTAATATTTTTTCAAATATTTAGTCCATGATGTTCTTAAAAAAATGTGTTCTATTAAAATTAAAAATTAATTAAATTGAAATATTATTGATATAAAAAAATATTTATCAATTACTTTTTACAATATTAGTTACAAATATTTGATTATTTATTAATATATGTTTAGCAGGAAATAATATGTATCTGAAATACCTAATTTAATATCATTCATAAAGGCACATACTTATCAATTATAAACTTTTAACTTTTATGATTAAATTTTATTTTAAAATTAATTTAACTGTGTTATTACACTGTGTAAGTATTATATTGTGTAATGACTAAGCTATGTAATACCTACCTTAATAACTACATTTAAAAATAGATAATTGCATTTATTAAGAGAACCCATTTAAGAATCTAGTCCAATTACTTAAGAGATTTCTTGTGCAACCAAACAATACATTTATAATTATATTGTAATTATATTATGACAAATAAACATGTGCAAGTAATATAATGCATGACTGAGCTATCCAATAAATACCTTAATAACTATGTTTAAAAATAGATATTGGGAGAACCCATTTAAAAATCTAGTCAAATTACTTAGAAAGACTTTGGTGGATACTGACTAGTGCAATTAATAAGAAAATCTAGTCAAAATTCTGCATATTAGTTAAAAAAAAATTATGGCAATTAGACTTGTCTCGTTCCCTATTTATAGACCCCAAATCTATCTTCTTCTCCTATAAATTTATTTGTGATTGATTAAAGATTTCACAAAAAAAAGAGAAAAAGATGTATGGAACAGATGGTTGCCTTGTTGAGTGTTCTTCAGTCCCTTGTGCAACTCCAGAAAATGACACTAAGGACACTTCCATCACTATTAATCTAGATCAGTGAGTATTCTTTTACAATTTTAATTCATTTTTCGTTAGAATGTTTCATATAAGTTATATACTTATGATCTTGGTCAATCCTCCTGATTCAATTTTTATATATGAAATCACCAATTTCGATTTATTCAATGTTGAGTGCTTTATTATGGTTCTAGAGATTAGATCTATTTTTCATAAAAAAATTGAAATGTTACAAATTGCTCAATTCTTTGTTAGAATACTAATTTGGGATTTAATTTTGTCGTGTGTGTATAGTGGTGATCCAACAATGTATGAGTCATATTGGAGAAAAATGGAGAACAAGTGTGACATAACATTCAATGGTGATGATTCATTGAGTTATTTTGCTAATGGTAAGAACTTGTGTTGGTTCTTGGAGTCAAAACTAGAAGAACAAATTAAGAGGCTGCACAATGTAGTTGGAAATGCAATTGTGGATGATCATTATACTATTGTTGGCACTGGATCAAGCCAGCTTATGCAGGCTGCACTTTATGCTCTTTCTCCTATTGATCAACTTGAGCCAATCAATGTAGTTTCAGCTACACCTTTTTATTCGGTACGTGTTTATACAATATATTTTTATTTATTTAAATTGAGATGTATGTCCTAGTCTATGGTTGATAAAATTAGTGGTCTAAAATTAAAAGTTATTAAAAGGCGTTATATATTAAGGTTTTAAGACTCAACAAGGTTAATGATTCCTTTTGACTTTAGATACTATTTTAATATGTCTAATGTTGATTAATCTCTACTTAACCTATTAAAAGTCAACGAAACATTGTTGGTTACATACCATATATATATATATAAACATGGTTCATGCAAAGATTTGCAATACATGTTAAAAATATTAGTTCTTGTTCTTTATTAAATAGTCACATGGTTCTTGGTACATGTTAGATCCATTAATTATAACATGAGTCATAATTTGTTTTGATAATTGCAGTAATCACCAGGCCACACCTTTAAATACAACACAATATATAATTCTTGGAACACATCATGCGACTTAGTTAGTCTACTTAAAAGTGACATTTCTTGATTAATTACTAAGTAATTGTCTTTTTGCAGGCATATCCAGAAGTGACTGATTTTGTGAGGTCAGGACTACACAAATGGGCAGGAGATGCAAGAACTTATGAGAAAAATGGAGTATATATTGAGTTCATTACATCTCCAAATAATCCTGATGGGGTTATTAGAGAGCCTGTAGTTAATGGAGATCAAGGAAAATTAATCTATGATTTAGCTTATTATTGGCCACAGTACACTGCTATTACCTCACCTGCCAACCATAATGTTATGCTCTTCACTATTTCCAAATGCACTGGCCATGCTGGTTCCAGAATTGGGTAAGTTTTTCAAAAATTAATTACAAGTCTATAGATTACTTAGAGACAATATTATCATTGTTCCTACAATCCCCTTTCGATATAAACTTTTAGAAGTATACAAATTTCAATTTATCACTTATTATAATTTGATTTACATGCAGTTGGGCACTTGTTAAGGACAAAGAGGTGGCAAGAAAGATGACAAAGTTCATGGAGATTAGTACAATTGGTGTATCAAAAGAAGCTCAACTTAGAGCTGCTAAGATTCTTGAAGTGATCTCTGAAAGATGTTTGGATCCCAATATGAAAAATTTCTTTGAATATAGTCAGTCTCTTATGACTGACAGGTGGCAGAGGCTAAGACAAGTTGTTATGGCTAATGGCCTTTTTGCCCTCCAGAAATACCCTCTTCAATATTGCCTCTTCACAAAAGACTTTTGTGAATCACACCCTGGTAATTACAAAAGATTACAATGTAACATTTTATTTTTAGTCTGTTTAAAAATTAACGTAAGTTCACAAAAAAAATACAATGTTATGTCACGTTTGAGATTATAAGCTATGATATTATCAATATATATTTGAAAAAAGTTTTCTTTTCTTTTGAAATTCATATTGTTTTTTTTTAAACAGCATTTGCATGGCTAATTTGCAAAGGAGGTGAAGAGGAGGATTGTGAAAAGCTTCTTAAAGAACACAAGATTCATACAAGGAGTGGAAGAAGATTTGGAAGTGATTCAAGAAGTGTTAGGATAAGTATGTTGAGTAGAGATGAAGACTTCAACATTTTTCTACAAAGGCTTATGGCTATTCAAGGACCTACAAATGGAAATTAAGACATATTTATGCATGAAATATTACTTCGTTAAATTTATATAATATCAGTGTTTTTTAGAAAAATATTCTAGCAATAAGTGGGTAATAGTTAGACTTTATATTGTGATTTTCTTTTTGCAGCAATGAATCTTTGATTTTGGATAGAATATTTTCTTGAATTGATAGAACTTGGTTGAATAATGCCAAAAAGAGTTTCCAAAATAGAAAAGGGCCGATAATAGTATTTTTTTGGTCTCATGTTCTTTTGATCTTTATGATAATAGATTGAGAAATATCTAATTTTCAATTAATTTAAGTGTGTTGAAGAATGATATATTTGGATTATATTATTTTTAGAATTGTGTTATTGTCAAATATGAAGTAACAATACAAACTCAACATGATATATTGATAATTAAGTAATATAACAAATTAAAAATTAAATGTATTAATCAGATATCATAAGAAAGGATCAAAAATAAAATCAATGTATTACTAATAATATAGGAGAAAAAGAAAAACTAAAACTATGGGTGTGAACAAAATTTTCAAACACTCACTTTAGTGGAGGCATTAAATGTGCAACAAAATATTGATCATTGAATCACATGGTGTATATATAATAAAAGAAAACCTAGTAAATTTCTCCACATCATGATAATGCAGATGGAGATGCATTGTATTTTGCTGGTGCAGAGAAGAAGGATGATAGGGTTCTTGTGCCTGATTTGGGGTTGCTAACTAGAGTATATAACAGGTGGGTTCATGCCGCTTATGTTGTTTGGATTCTTCTAAAATGTCAATGGGTGTGTAGGAATCTCCAAAAAGTAGTTTATTTTTGGAGAATTCGGCACCGATGTGACATTGAAAGTGAAGAGTTTGTGCAACTTAGGATGCAACCTGAAATGCTTGTCATTTATTGTCTTTTTGGCATGTTGTTGTTCTTGTTTTTTGTGCGCAAAATTTGATGGAATTTAGGTTTCAGGGCTCGTGAGCTGTTTTATTATTTGAAAGGAGGGCAGGTTGACCATGGGGAATGTTGGTGTAATATAAACCACAAATACAAAATATTACAGTTGGAAATAAAATTACAAAAAATGAATAAATAAATCTTTAGGCTGAGATGTGGATATCTCGCTCTCTTTAAGGAGATTCAAGCCCACTGCGGCATAATCTACACTGATCCAGCAGTATCACTCTTGACTTGTCCCATCCAGAATACAACAACCCAACAACGTGTATAACTCAAGCAACTCTGGATTAGTTGAAGAGTCCAAAGCTCCACAAAAGTACACCTTCCTTCAGCATATAAATATTTTCTTTTGTATATAGTGAATATAGTTGAAGACTTAGAATATTATTCTTTGTCTCAACTCACTCATTCACTACTACACAACAAATTATTATTTCACACTTCTCATCTTTTTTGGCTAACACTATCTCATATTTTCTTGGGACACTTCACAAAGGAAGAAACACCACTATTTATAGGTGAAGAAGTCTTCCAAATAATCAATGGATAGATGAGGGGTAGCAATGTGGGTAGATACACGTGATAGATGTTACATAAGTTACAAGACACTAATGGTCATATAAGTTACAAGAAAACAAGAACTAATGGTCATCAAGAACCAATAGTCATCTTCTACCACAATTTATACCCACTAACATATGCACTTTATATTTTAATAATAAAATGCATATACACAACATTTCCCACTCATTTTAATATTAAAATAAGAGAGTTCATCAATTTAGTTGAACGTAGACTATTATGCATAATGAAGGTGTGCTCTGTATTGAACCTTCACTTAGTAAAACAATAACCTTTACTCCACAGTCAATAGTAGTTTCGGACTTGAACTATGCCTACTTAGCGGAAATAAAGTATCATTGATTACACACAATAATCAAGGTGTTGAAATAAGCTTTCTTAGCCAGCACATTACAACCTTGTTCTATCCCGATTTTCATAAGTGTTTTTGAGAACAAGCTCATTCTCATAGAAAGTGGCCTACTTTCACACTCACATAGCTGAAATTTGTCAAGGATGCTCCTATAATTTGACATCCCACTCATACGAGATACATACTTTCATTAAGAGTTCAAAACTCATCCTCCAGAAATCATTATAGGATAAATGCACTCACATCATATGGAATGAATATAGTTAAGAATAGTGTATTTCACAACAAGTCATCATATGATTCGTTCTTCCTATTGAACCTCGTTATAGGATATCTAGTCCCCAGGTTGAGTTTCCTCAAATATGACTCGGAATTTTTTAGTTTCAATTTCACCCCCCCCCCCCCTCCTCGATGTGCTTCAGACTCTTTATCTTGCCAAGACTTGGTTTATCAAATCTGCAAGATTATCACAAATTTGAACACAATTAATATTGATGGTATACCAGTGATCAATATGATCTCACAATATTGTGTTTTCTCCTCATGAGTCTAAATTTACCGTTTTAATAACGATCTTGTACTCTACCATTATATTGGTGCCATTAGAAAAATTAATTTCTCAAAATAAAGTGTTTGATATAATAAAATCAATTCACTTTTTCACTTGTTGAAGCTTCATTTTTTTTACTTCAACCTCCCTAATAGAATTAGCAAAAAATAAGTTGCTTTGTCATTCCAAGCATCAAGTTTTTTCATTTGCATCAACAAAACTTTTAAGTATAACATAATACTTTTTCTCATTAAACAAACCACCAAATTTTGTTCCAAGTAAATTTACCTGATTTGCTTGTATATGCTATACTTTATACACAATATCTATATATGTATATGTATATGTATTACCTTAAAAGCATGAACTCCTAACTTGAATGTTAAATTACTATAATATCCCTAACTAATTAGGTTGTGACTTTTTCGATGAGTTGTGACTTTTCTGATAAGTTGTGACTTTTTTGAAGGGTTGTGCTTTTTCGATGAGTTGTGACTTTTTCAAAGAATTGTGACTTTTTCAATAAGTTGTGACTTCCCAAAAGGTCATGACTTTTCCGATAAGATACAAAAAATATTTGTTCATACCACCCTTTGTTGACTATAAATAGAGGGGCTTCCTCTTATTTTTTTCAACCACAATTTTTTTTTACTCTTCTTCTTCTTGCATTTCAAAATATTTAGTGTGATTTATTGTCATTGAGTGAGTTTGAATAAGGCTGTAAGTGATGGCTTTTCTCTTAGTATATGTTGATTACTGTCGAATTGTGAGTGGAAAGAAAGATTTATTTTTGGTGAAAACATAAAATGTACATTTTTGTCGGTGTATTACTTGTGCCATTAGTTGTATGACAATCTGGATCTGCCTTTTCTGCAATAATTTTATCATATCAAAATTAAATCAGTTGCTAATAGTGGTCCATTGGTAACTTGCTAAGTGCATGATTGTGGTGTTAACTCCCCTTTGATGATATGCTTCAATGTTCTACCAACAATAGAATAATTAAGCAAAAAGAGGAGAAATTTTATCTCGAGGATCACAGAAAGCGGATATGTCCTTTCCCTTCACTCAATATTTCTCTGGTGTCTCTACGTTGCTTTTGGTACCTTCACCTTTTCTCTTCTTTTTTAACAGTTTGTGAAGGAACACACCATCATTATTATTGTCAAAATGAGGTTATCTTTACCTCCCCTTTTGATAGTGATCTTTGATGTTTGAGTGAACTGCTTTGTTTTTTTTTCCTCAGAGTTGTTGACTGATGAACTTCTCGATTGGCACTACCAAAAGGCCATCAATTTGCATAATATATAAATTAGTATGTAATGTACAAATACATGAAGTTAACATGATGTAGTCTAAATTCATTTTTTTTAACATTTCTCTTGTGATGTAAATATATGCTTCTGAACATCTTTTTCCAAAATTATTAAACTTCTCAAGAGTTAGAGAATTGTCACATTTTGTTCTTTTGATGCTCAAGACAAAATAATGACTTTATTTATCAATGTTACTTATGTGATTTAGAATGTTAGGAAGTTCGCTTCAAAAAAGTTATTACTATATAACATTGCCCTTGTGTTTACTTATTTACTATTTCTTAATGTTATCGTATTTTAGACGAAGAAAAGTTCATATATATATATATATATATGGGTAGGTATTTGTATTTAAATTAAAGTATTATATATGTCACAAATGTATTATCAAGTTAACAAGATCTTATAACTTCAAAATATATTTTTTTAAATTGTTCCGAGTTCTTTTATTTTATTTAAAACTCACAACAAATGTGAAAATATGTGAATATATATGAATCATTTAAATATTATCATTTACAAAATAAATTTTATTTACAATAATATGGGATAAACATTTTCATTTTACCCCTACACTAAATTAAAATCTATTAACTATATAAAAATATAGCAACATTAATTAAAAGTCCTATTTATTAATGTTAGTATAAAATTTATTAGAAATACAACTATTGCACATTAATTTTTTAGTTATAACATTATAATTTCTCTTAGTTAATACTAATTATTGCAAATGTTATTCACACTCTTTAACATTCTTTAGTTATAAGATTATGAATTCTCATAGTTATTACATTAATTATTTCTTTCATTTTTTCTTATCTTAACTTTTGACCAATAATTTTTCATATTATTATACCGCCCATATATATGTGATAACACAATGTTTTTATTTTTCCTTAGACGAATCATGCTTTATTGAATAAATTGAAAATTGTTTACAAGTATATGAACTACATCTTTGTTGGGTGTAAGATAAACATGTGATTATATATATGATTTCACAGATAGAATATATTCTTTAATTTCAATTTTTAGTTTTTCCGGTAAAAAAAAGAAACATTTCTCAGTTAACTATGGACAACCAGATAACTAGCTTTGATTTATTTACACAGTCAATTGAGAAGTCAAATATGAGAGCCAACAACAAGAACATCATTTACTATGTTATAACTTACAAAATATAAATTAATATACAAAAATTAGTTCTAAAAGATAAAATGTAGTTGTTCTCTTTACATGTTCAT